AAGGGAAGGGAGAACATACCTGCGGCGGATGCTGCATGCGAGAAGATGTGTGGCAGCACTGGCGAGGAAGAAACGGAGCAGGGGTGGGGGAATCGTAGAGTGGGATGAAACACGGAATGGGAAACCCTCATATAAGCGGGGGAATGGAAAAAGCGGGTAATCCAAAACTTAAAAATAGGGAAAGGAATGAATTTTTTTATAAACAAACCACAACAAAGGGAATGAGGGAATCCTATTCCGTTTCTCCATTCCCTCACCCCCGAACCAAACACCCCCTAATTAATTATATTAATTTCATTCATTATCCATCTCGATCAGTTGCTACGTTGTGCTAATTCTGATCAATTATGTGCGTTTTTGGTAAAACTTGTTTCGTTTAGAATAATTTCCAAAATGATACTTACTCCGTCTAAAAATTTCTTTCCCAGTTTAACTTTGTACGGAGATGAAGAAAATAATTAAAAAGTATAAAGATTTTCTATATTTGTCTTTGATGTCATGGATTAAAATGAGTTGTGTAGATTAAAAATGTGAGTACAATGCTACACTGGGTCCGTTTGGTACACAGAATTGATGGAATTGGAATTGAATTGGAATTAAAATTCCATAGGATTCAATTCCATAGAATTGAATTCACCAATTCCAATTTATTTTTTGCACTACCAATTCCAAATCTATATAAATTTTGTACTACTAAATACCAGAATTGGAATTGAAGTCCTCAATTCCAATTCCATAGTTTGAATTTCGTGTATCAAACGGGGCCTCATTAAAATTTTGTTGCCAAAATAGGAAAAGAGAAAGAAATTTTTAGACTGCCCAAAAAGGAAAGTGAGAAAGAAATTAAAGGGGTCGAGTATTCAATAACCATGTGTTTTTCTAAATTAGTCTCCAAAATGAATAGAATACCGAGAGGATACTTGTTAGAAAAATGCTCAGTTTAATCCCCTGACTAACGGCCATCAAAACTACGTTAAGATGACGTTAAAAATTATATTAATTTCCCAAAATGAGCTTTCTAATTGGGTGTTTTTTTTCAAATTAGTCTATTTTTGAAATAAATAAACTAATTGAACATGAAAAAAGAATTTTAAATTTTATAGAATGAGAATATAATAAATAAAACTAAATATAATTTAATAAATTTGAAAGTAAACATTTCAAATTGTTTAAAATCATTAAGAAGATTATATCATTAGATAAAAAGTTTGTGGATCAACAAATCAGGTTGCTACTTATTACGGGATTCCTTACAAGTTTTCTGTGAGAATACTGTTAACAAATCTATCTTAGGATTGTATATAGTTAGATATATGATATATGATTGTGCAGTGTTTCAAAAAGAATAAAAGCTATTTACAAAAAAAATCAGTTATTCAAAGAATACTAATAGAATTCCATTTTTTTACCTAGTCTATGGACATATAAAAAATTTCAAGAATTATTTGTAAAGTCCTCTTCTGTTTTCAAAAATCTGCTTCTGGAGGTGCCCGTGTTCACGAAGGAAGTTTAAGTTTGATGCAGATGGCTAAAATATCTGCTGCTTTATATGATTATCAATCGAATAAAATTTGAGGGGGGGGGGAATGTTTCGATCTCAAGTTCTCGCAGTAGCAGCAATTTATAATGTGACATAGATTGTTTTTGTATTCTACATAATTGAAAAGATTATTCATAGCATGCATCACGCGGGTTCAAATCTAGCGAAAAGTAAAAAGATATTTTTCAAAAAATCAAGAGTTGAGGATAAGAAAATCGCCCAATTCTTTTTTATATATGACAAATGACTAATTATCCAACATATTACAAAAATTTATCGTTCAACATTATTCTAGATTTTTACAAATAGAGTCCCCCATGTGACATGCCGAAATTTGCCACTTCATAATGTGAGCAAATGAACTTTGAGAATGTCCAAAATGTTAGACAAAAGTGCAACTCTAGAGGGGGGGTGAATAGAGTTATTTTCAAGAATGTACGTTTTTCGTAAAAATTATCGCAGAAAAAAAGTAAGGAGAGTAAGGGAAAGAAGAACACCGGGATTTATACTGGTTCACCACCTCGTGGCTAGTCCAGTCCTCCGAGAGACTCTCTCGAAAGTCCTACTAATCTTCAAGCTTCAACGGGTGCTTGAAAAACCGGTACAACTTGAGAACTTGAATCACACAAGCCTCACTTTCTTACAACAACAAGACTTGAGTCACACAAGTCTTAAGAACAACACTCAAATGAGATTGAGTTTACAACACAAGAATGAAAGCTCACACAATTGAGCAAAGTAGTGTTGAAAGATTTAAGCTCTATGGATGACAACTTCT